GCAACAACCTTATAGGTTACAAAATGTTTATACCTTAACATTTGGTTAAGTTACAAGTCATGCCTTATAAAATCTTAATATTTACAGAATAGTCTATGAAATTATACCTAAATTCATAATAATCCAAAAATTTATATGGTGAGTAGTTAGTGGGCGATTCGATGTGGGACGAGTAATGTCCTAAACCCATAACCTACCCACTATTTACGACATGTATGACTTTTTACATCCTCACCCGTCCACTACTCACTAAACTTATATTCATCTCCACTTCAATTAGAGTAGGTGCGATGCGTAATCAACAAATCCTCTCCCATCCCTAGTTTAAAACGTATCAATTTTCTTTCTTTCTTTTTAAAAAAAAAATACTAATTTAATATCGAAACTTGTTATATATAAATATTACGTGTATGTTCAAGATTAAATTATGTTAATTTAAATTGTATTATGTTTAGATTTAATCTAAATTTATGCTAATATAAATTCAAATATATTTTGATTATCATTCTACTTATGCGTTAATAATTATTAATTATCATTCAAGATTGATTTTGTCATCGTTCTTCTAATTCATGGATGTTCAATCTTTTTCCGACGGATATATTTTTACTAGATCTAATGAGATGCTAATACCATAGCTCATTGTCTTATTAAAGTATTATTATATCAAACAGATTATTTTAATTGAAAAATTGATCCTCATAGTATTTTGCTAATATTAACTATGATAATCATCTTAATAGCGTCGAATCCTCATAGTATTATATAAATATACCGATTTAGAAATAACAATCCTTAGAATCTTGATTATTGTACTAATAATATTTTTTATTAAAGTTTTAAATTTCAAAAATAATAACATTAGAGATTGATAAATCAGGTGGCTTTTGTTACTTTAAACAATAGTTATCGATATGAAAGAGAGCTACACCAAAATAATATAAATATATATAGTTGTACAAACACAATTTATTAAACGCGTCTTATTATAAAAATTTTAAGACCAAATTTCAATTATAAGTTCTAATAATAACATTACATACGAAGGGAAGAACAAGTTATTGTGGTGGTCAACGAGAACCATGACGTGGACACCATGAGACAAGCTTGAACATTGCATTCATTAACAAATATTATCTAAAAAGAAACAAAATATAGTTTAAATGCTACCAAATGTAAACCACAAGTAAGCAAGGGGAAATAATATATATATATATGGTGACCATCAAGCTCTTTAAATAAGCTATATATGAATGTTACATATACTCGATCCACCGAACATGGTTTTGAAGCATTTATAGTATCAATCCCTCGGGAGATAATAAAAACCTTCGTAATTTCTTCTAGTATTGAGAGGTTAATTGCTTTCAATTAACTATTATCATATGCTTTCCTATCAATCTCCATGTTATCCTAAATAGTTGCAATTAATGAATAATTTATTTATTATTTAGAAGACTTTAGGGGTTCATATTGTTACATTTAATATGGTTGTGAAAATAAGATTTGAGTAAATTCATTGAACTAAAAAACTAAACTAAAAGTTGAAAATTTAATTAGTTGAATTAGTGAGATAAAATAATAATGATGGGACATTCTTTTATCCCTTAATTAAAACAAGAATAGTGGATATGTAAGAAAATATAAAATGATCATTTTTAACGTACATAATTCATGGAACGTTGTTTTTATTAAAGGGATAAAAAAAATTCTCTACCGATTATTATCATATAATTACCTTATAAAATTAAAAAAAAACTCATGAAGTATGAGAAAATCAATAAAAAAACAAGAAAAATAAGGTATATAAAAATAAATAAATAAATTGAAAGTACAGGATAGCCGTTACAATTAATAAACTTAGGAAGAAACAGCGAAAATTCCAAAAACAAAAAACCAAAAAGAAATGATGACCTAACTCATGTAACTCATGTAAATCCCGATAATAATTAATTAAAAATCACAAATTAATAAAAGTACACCAATAATAATTTTTAATGCAATATAATTAATTAAAATTTTAATGTTACAAACTTTTTAAAAAAATATATAAAAATAATTAAAATCTATAAATCGAATAATTTCTCTATTTCGAGTTTATTGTGCCAATTATGTATGCTTAATTTAAAAGAAGAAATTAAGAATCAAGTTATTTTAACGATTAAATTGATGATTGTCATTTTTAAATATTTTAAGTTTAAACACATCATATATTAAAGGTATTTTAACATTCCCCCTTCAAATAATTAAATCTTTCAAATATATATTATCTTATAAACACTCATAATAATAAAAAAAAATTAAAAGAAAATATTTTATAAAAATGAAAGATACATTCATTAACCACTGAATTAAACAGTGTGATGTTAGATTTTGCTTAATAATAGTAACGTGTACGAACTATTATCAGTATACTCTCTCTGCGCACTAGATCTATGTGTGACTTTTGGACGTAAGAATGTGACCGACGTCTCGCATCTTAGCCCACTATGATAATCAAAGAATTAATTTATTTCATTTAAACATATGGATTTTCTATCCGTATCATACTCCTTAGTTTGATTTTGTAAATTGATTTTTAATTTAAAACTAAAAATATTAATTAACTTGATTTTAGTCAAAAACTTTTAAATTTTAAAATTACAATTCATTTAAATAGTATTTTTTCTCGTTAATACAGAAACAAACATAATTAGTTCATTGAGCTTTGGTCCCTTGCAACTAAGGCAAACACTTCGTTTGAAATTTCATGGTGAAGAAATACTCCTACCGGGCATCCTCTAGCCATTGCAGTAAGCTTATCGGCTATCATATTAACTTCTCTTTTAATGTGATAAACAGTCGAATCCTATTCTCTATTCAGTAGCTCACGTATTAGAATGAAAATAGTGTTGCCATTAACCCCCTCACCCGATCCATTAAGAATATTTACCACCATCGCACACTCGGTCTCCACTATTAACCCTCTAACCACTGCAGCAAGCTTATCGGCTATCAATTTTTTCTTTTAAGTTTCTTTGCTTAGTCATATTCATTAACATTAATTCTTTCATACAATAAAGATCAAGTATCTTATCATAGGTTAAAATAGAAAAAAAAAATAATACATTTGATTATTTTAAAAAATAATAAAATAATATAAATATTTTTCAGTATAATTTATTTTATTTTAACCTAAAATTCTTAATTTTATCTCGATCTTCTCTAAAGATGACTATCTTTTCCTCCTGAAAACTTCAATTTCTTATTTTTTTAAAATATTTTTATTCATAATACATTTTCACATTTTTAAAATCTTATAAATTTAATACTCTTAAAATTGTTTAAATTTATATATTTTCATGTAAAATTTTACGTTATCACTTGATTCACCCTATACTTATAATTTAGGAGGTTATTTATGCTTTTAGCATATGTAAAATTGCATTTGGGGTAAAAAAGAAACTTGGAAAGTGGGCAAAATGCTTACCTGGCATGAATTCGCTCATCATTCCCCTTCTCTGCCACCACTGATAAATGTAGCCTCCTGGTGTCACCATCCCCCTTTGAACGTCCGTTAAATCCCCCGCAATATAAAAACCCAGTGCAAATTAAGAGTTTAATCGATTGGTGTTGAATTCAAATAGTGGCACGTTCAAGTTTAGTTGAAACATTAAAATCTGACGATCGATTTACACCTAATTTTAATTGAATAATAACTATTAAAGTTCAATTTTAATTAAAATTGTTTATTAATTTCAATAATAAAACTTAAATTTGAACTTAAACTTAACTAAACTTTTTTTTATCAATAATATATAATACAATTAAAATTTCATGTAAAAATATACAATAAGTTAAAATTAAAAAATTCGATCGAACTCCAAAGCCATTTATATTATCTATTACCATGATTAAAATTGTTTTAATCAATAACTTGAATTGCTCTAACTAAAAACTTGATACTATAATTATCAACTCAAATTTAATTATTTTCAAATCGAACTCAAATATTCTACATAGATATTTCCTTTGGACCCCTAATCTAAACAGGATATCCTCGAGAATCATCCAAACGCCGTTACCCCCTCCGTTATCTGCTTAGCTGGATGCCACTCTTAGCCCCAAGGTCTTTCCTCCTCAGAGGGCCAGCTGGCACGCCGCTCTCTTCTGCACATGGCCAGCAACTTCTGTCGCGCCATGTTCGAAAATCCCCATATTACCACTCGTTAAACCGCTGTTTTTACGATGAATGCCATTGCTGGCCCTTTTCTTTCAAGTGAAGTTGACACTTTCTCGATCCTATGGGGAATTTGCATGGTTTGAAGTGATATCGTAATTATTGGGAAATTAGAGGGTATTTTGGGTAATTCCGACTTTTAATCTTTGTATTTTTCTTGGTTGCTTAAGCTGCTGGTTAAAAAGTCGATTGCAAAAAGAAGGCGGTGGAAAAAAAATTCCAGTAGAAAGTACAAGAATCTTGGGGCATGGAATAGCAGTCCATTAAGTGAAAAAAAAAAGTCATGAATCAATGAAAAGCCTGACTCGTGAAGCAGTAGGTAAAATATTAAACCAAGAATGAAAAGTCTGCCTCGTGAAGCAGCAGGTAAAAAATTATTAATTCAGCATAAAATAAGTGAATAAATTAAAGCTCTTTCTCGTCCATTTCTTTCCTTCTTTCTCTCTTTGCCTTCCAAATCTTTTTCTCTGTAAAACCCTTCCTTTCTGGCTCTCAAAGAAATTTCACATTCATTCTTTGCTTCTTACTTTTAATATCACGAGATCCCCATCTCTTTCCTTTCCTTTCCTTTCGTTATCTCTCTCTCAGATCTCTCTATTCTTCCAAGTTTCTTCTTTTCTTCTGCTAGAACGGTTCTTCCCACATTCACTTCAACAAGCTCTTCCTTTTCCCCCCACTCACGTTACCAATAAAACCCACCCAGAGGAGACAAGAGAGGGGGGTAAGGGAAGAGAAAGGATAAGGGGACTTAAATTGGACTGACCCCGTTTTTTTTAATGAAATGTCGCATCTAGGTGGAAAGACAGTGCCGGAGCTAGGCCTGGATTTTGATAAACTCGCCGATCAACTCCGTGACTCACTGAGTTACTATGATAACAAACCCGATTTCCGTGAATTCGATCTGGGTTCACCCGTATCCCCCCTCCGAACCGGGCAACAGGGTCTCACGATGACGACAACGACGAGTTCCAGCTCCGGTTCTTCCAGATCCGTTTCGGGTCGGAACTCGTCTAACGCGACCACTAGGAGATCTGAATCGGGTCGAAATAATAACTCGGGTGAGCTTTCCGGCTCGAGTGAAACGAGTCCGACTGCTTCTACTGGGAATATAAAACCTGGTCAGACCAGATCCAAATCCAACACTTCCGCGACCTACCCGTTGATCTATTCGGGTCAAAGAGCCATCAACTCACCGCCAGCCAACGTTCTTCCTACGGGAAACATATGCCCTTCGGGGAAAATCATTAAAACCGGCATGGCGGTGAACCGGAGTTCCAGAATCGTTGTTTTGGGCTCTGGGTCTGGTAATTACGGCCATGGCAGCATAATGCGGGGCGGGCGAGTGGGAACTGGACCCGTTACCGCCTCCAAAGGCGGTGCCTTTGAACCCAGTAGCACCCTTGGAAACCATGGGAATGCGAGTGATTTAATGAGAAAGGCAATGGGGAACTCAGAACCTGAGGATATTAAGAGAGTTGCGAATGAGATGTACAAAAAAGGACATTTTTTAGAGGCTTTGAGTTTGTACGATAAGGCTATAGTTTTGTCACCGACGAATGCGGCTTACCGGAGTAACAGAGCTGCCGTATTGACAGCTTTAGGGAGAGTATGGGAGGCAGTGAAGGAATGTGAAGAAGCTGTTAGATTGGATCCTAATTATGGGAGGGCTCATCAGAGACTGGCTTCATTATTGTTAAGGTGAAAAGAGCTATGATTACGTTAGTGATGGAAATAGTATCGGTGGAAAAAATTTTGGTGAATGATTGCTAGATGCATTTATTCTCTTGTTTGCTATATCTTCACAATTCTTATGATCTGAACTTAATAGCTCATTTTAACGTTGATTGTTTTTATAAGATTAGCTTGGCTTGGATTACTCGCTTGGCTTGGAGCAATCCGGTGAAATGTTGTCAATTGTTTGCTCCTAATGATTTAGTTCGTTTAAGTTATTTTAGAAGGATCCATTGTCAAAGGGTATTAGGCAGCTCATGAACTTATCTGCAATGTTTCTATCTTCTATGAAAATTTGATATATGTGGTTCGGTATTTAGTTTTGATGTTGCCGCCTTTTTTCATTTCATTATTGTAGGCTTTTCTAAATCACTTCTTGTTTCCCACTATTCGTCAAATGCATACGTTTTCACGTTACGCCAGAATCAGATGTGTGTTTAATATTTCAGTTGCACCAATTTAACTCTATTCAATTTCAGGGTAGGGCATGTTGAGAATGCTAGGAAGCACTTATGTTTTCCGGGGCAACCACAAGATCTGGCAGAGTTGCAGAAGTTGCAGGCAGTAGAAAAGCATCTTAGCAAGTGTACAGATGCCCGGAGAATTAGGGATTGGAGAAGTGCATTAAGGGAAGCTGATGCTGCTATTTCTGCTGGTGCAGACTTTTCCCCTCAGGTAAACATCTTGTTTAAAACTTTCCATCTTTAAATTTTGAAGAAATTGTGCAGTTAACAGACATTGAAAATGGCTGAATTGGTTCACATTGAATTTACAGCTTTTTATGTGTAGAGTGGAAGCCCTTTTAAAACTGCATCAACTTAATGATGCTGAATCGAGCCTTTCGGTTGTTCCTAAATTAGAACAATGCATCAACTCCCCACAGATTAAGTTCTTTGGGATGCTTGCTGAAGCTTATCTCTTTTTTGTCCAAGCACAAATGGAGATGACACTTGGGAGGTTAGTTTAAAAACATTACTAGGCTTCATCAGATATAAGATGGAAAAGGCTTTGGGTCATGAGTTAGAAATTTGATGATGGATATATTGCAGGTTCGACAATGCAGTTACAGCTGCTGAAAAGGCTGGGCAGGTTGATGCTCGAAATGTTGAAGTTTCAGTACTGCTCAGCAATGTAAGGTTGGTCGCCAGAGCACGAGCACGTGGGAATGATCTTTTCAAATCCGAAAGGTTCACCGAGGCCTGCTCAGCATATGGGGATGGGCTCAAGCTTGATCCATTAAATTCTGTTCTTTATTGTAACAGAGCAGCATGCTGGTTTAAGCTTGGACGGTGGGAGTCTTCTGTTGAAGACTGCGACCTAGCGTTAAGTATCCAACCAAACTACATAAAAGCCCTTCTTCGGAGGGCAACATCTAATAGCAAGGTAAACAATTATTTAAAGCTTTCCTTCATCATACAGATAAACATCTTTGTGATGGGTATACCCAAATTTGGGTGCTTCATACTAACCATCAGTCATTGTGAACTACAGCTAGAAAGATGGGTTGAGACTGTCAGAGATTATGAAGTTTTGAGAAGGGAACTTCCAGATGACAATGACGTTGCTGAATCTCTTTTTCATGCACAAGTTGCATTGAAGAAATCTCGCGGTAAAGAGGTTTATAACATGAAGTTCGGTGGTGAAGTAGAAGAAGTATCCAGTCTCGAGCAGTTCAGAGCTGCAATATCTCTGCCAGGTAGACGCTGACCTTACATTTTAAACTGTCTTCAGTACTTCAATTGCTCTCTCCCCATTTTACCAACTTGCAATCCTCTTGAGATTTTATTTTTGATCCATAGGCATATCTGTTGTTCATTTTAAGATGGCTTCCAACCTGCAATGCAAACAGATATTTCCATTCGTTGAAGCTCTCTGTGGTCGTTACCCCTCCATAAATTTTCTTAAGGTAAATGATCCATTTTTCTATCTCCATGGTTTATTTGTATTTGCATGCCCCTCTAGATAATGGTTAACTAAATGCAATGCAGCAAGAATAACAGTTTGTTTCTACTTTTTTGTCATTTCTTTGGAGTAAAGGTGGACATCAACGAGAGTCCAGTGATTGCAAATGCGGAGAATGTGAGGATCGTACCAACATTGAAGATATACAAAAACGGCAGCCGGGTAAAGGAACTCGTGTGCCCGAGTCGGGAAATGTTGGAGCACTCGGTGAGGCATTACAGCTTTTAGAACTAGTGATTGTATTGTACTGTACTGTATTCCCAGTTCACCCTTTTTTGCATTCACTTCTTGCCACCCAAATATCCATTTTGTTGGGAACTCTTCCACTACCCTTCCAATCTTTCCTCCCCACCATACCAGGTACATGTGACATAAAACCAGAGAGCTACATAATAATCATCCTATTAGCAGTCAATGCCAGAGGAACCCCAATAAAATTAGCTTTTAGTTTCCCTTTTGTAGCTTTTATTTTTTCATTCATTCCCCATTGCTCTAGGGTTCCCTGTTCTTTCCTCTACCCTTTTCCTTAATTTTCCATTTTTAAGTAGGCCAGTCTGATTCTTGTATCACTGCTTTCATTCAGTGGGAAACAAAAAAAAAAGGATTGGGAAATATGTGTACAATTTAATTACAAGTGGATACTTGGTTACATTTTAGAGAGATACAGTGAGAGGACTGGCAGGCAGGTAGCAAAGGAGAATCTATACATGTATATATGTGATGATATATACAAAATCAACCGAAGCCGTGAGGAAGATTGGATGGATGTTTGGTGGGTACTTAGTTTACTGGGTTAGTGAAAGAAGGATGAAATATGTTGTCATCAATATTGTTGTTTCTTTTTCTCTTAACCATTTCATCAATAAAAAATTCCCATTTTTTCCCATATATTCCTCTCTGCAACTCCATTATTAGTTTTACTTAATTGTCTGATTTTCCATGAATCTCTTAGACTTGGTCATGGTTGGTTTCCCCTTATTCAATAGTGTGGGGGTGGGTAGTTGACACCATTTATTGCTATATACACATGAACTTCTGCCCTATAGGGTAGGGATTAGTCTAAGAACTAAAACATGCCCCCAAGGCCACCATAATTTGTTTATTAAATCATTACTGCATGTTGTAGCTAATTCCATTATAGGGTGTGATTTGATTTGATTTGATGTTTTGAATTTGTTTGCGAGTGAAGTTGTATGGCATTGTCATGTGAGGGGCTAGTAAGGGTTTATCTTTTTTTAATTTGTTGTGGGGAAGCATTCGCATGTGGGCATTTAAGTGTTGTTTGTGTTAAGTTTTAAACACCTAAACCGGGGGTCCAAAAGTGCAAATGGTGGGTGCTTAAACAAGGCCATCACAGCCTTTTGGAGGGGGGTGGGGGTGGCTTTTGTGCTGTGCCAATAAATGCTTTGGGGGAGAAAGAAAGTGAAAAATATTGGGTTTTGATTGGCTAAAAGACAATAAATAAGAAAAAAAAAAGTTTTATTTTTTGGGGTATATATTAATTTGGGGAGTGTGGCAAAGGAGCCATCAAGTTCCAAAATTTTAAAGGTTGTTTAAAGATTCCCCAATTCATAAACCTTCGAAATGTATGATGGGTTTTGGTTTCCAGAGTTCTGCCATGTATTGCATTTTTCCTATGTACATGACCAATTATTGAAGCCATCTCCATCATCCTAACATCAGTACCGTCATCTAATCTTCAATAAAAAAGTAAAAATTTAGTATATCATCAACCTTTTGTTCGTTGATTGATTAATCTCGGTATGATATTATAAAAATCATTTATAAGAACAATCTAATATATTTTATTTATAATGTCAAAAATTTGAATTTCAGACATTGTTTAACAAGCCTTGTATCTCATCTCGTCTTAAGAATTGATTCCCTTTATATATTTGTTTTGAACTAAAACTTAATCGATAACATTGTTAGTAGGTTTTCTATAAATTTATTATGTTTTTTTTATGAGGTGAATAAGTCCTGTTCTACTATCATTTTAAAATTAGTAGTTTACTTGATAATGTTGGATTAAAATTCATAATTGTAGGTACATATGTATAATATACAATGCTATCATAAAAATATGACACAAAATTAAGTGACCAATTATGTTACATGTGTCATAGGTATTAAATTGTTATGAAATTAAAATGTAGATACTATAAGTTATATTTATAATTTAACGAGGGATAAAATTATAAATACTTAATAACTTGACCCAATATTCATTTTATATAGAGAGTTAGTGGACCCAGTAAATAGATTAACTTATATTGCTCATATCCCGTCTAAGAGTTTTTCCGGTAAAAAAAATTTAACTTCTTGGAAGATCACAACCAAAAGAAAGACTCGAGGATTTCAACATATTACTTAATTCAGACAGGCTTTCACATTTAGATTATTATTCTTGATGATTTAAAATGATAGATTTTTTAGTTCTTGATTTTATATTAATTAGGTTTTAGTTCTAACAAATAAAACATACTCAAGTTTAACATAAATTAATTAGATTTTGATTTTTAAATAAAGTAGAAGATTAAATTTCAAAAATTGAAAGGGTAAGAGACTTGGGGCATAATTATACCTAATGTTTATGGAAACCATTAAAAAGAATTGAGCATGTTAAATCCAAATTGGTTAGTATTCAATCATGTTTTCATTAAAATGTCATTTTACGCAAAGGAATATTAGGAATAATAATAATTGCATAAAAGTGTGGAGTCAACAATATTTAGAGCTCTAAAAGTTCTCAATTGATGCTTTCGTAAAATTTTAATATTTATTTATCTAAGTACTAACATTTATATAAAAAAATAACATATAATAACAAGGTTAATTTTACCAATATAGATATTCGAAAAATATTAAAAAAATCAATTTTACCAACAATTAGTTGGTCTAGTGGGATGAGACACTAGATCCCTTAAGCAAGGTCAGAAGTTTGAATCCTGACGTTTGCGAATAGAGCAAATTGGTTGGGAGTTTTGCCCTCGCCTCTGCAGTACCCGATCTGGATTAATCGATTAATAGATCGGATACCAGTGATTAATTCAAAAAAATCAATTTTATTGACTAAATATTCGAAGTTTGAGTCTGTCATTTTGTTTTAAACATATTTTTAATGAATTTAACCTTTGTTGTAGTGATTACTTTGGGCAGTTGGGTCTATATAATAACTATAATATATAGAAAAGAGAGGCAGTAGAACCGTGAGTCAAGGTGGCAGAGTGGTCTACGGCGCCAGACTCAAGTTCTGGTCCTCGTACCGTCTACCCCCCCCCCCTCTCTAAAGCCCTTACCGCTCTTGGTGTTATTTTCTTATTGCACATTCGATATTTATTTTTTATTGAATACATATATAATAACTAGATACATGCATGCATGCATAAAGAAGCTGCGGATTATCCATGTAAACAAAAACCAGAAGCACCCTCAAGGGCATTACTTGCATTAAAAGCATAAATTATTAATCAGTTTCAATGGAGTTCAACTCCCATCCATTTTGTGGCAGTAATAAACACTTGCCACCATATATATATATAGAACTGAGTCCTCAGCACAGCAACATAATCATAGCGTAATAAGATAATATATATATCACTTCCTTTCTGTACCTTCAGAAAGGTTCGCTCCGAAATGACATACATCTCCGATGAATAATTCATCTCTTCTTGACTTAAAACTAGAAGCATGTGTCGCGAAGTAAGTTTAACCAGTGTTTTGCATGCCGGCAGCTATACCCTTCATGGTCAAGATGAGGGTATCCTCCAAACCAGGGGCATATTCGCTTGTTGGGTTCAGTTTCACAAGTTCATCGGCAGGTTTGCTTGATTCCATAATCTCTTTGGAGATATGTGGACGCAACTTGACACTGTAGTTCGGATCACGGATTCGTTTGAGTGTGTAGACCTGACAGACATTTAGTGTTGTGATGTATGAATCACGAAGCCGGAGTCTTTGCTTCAGGTAGGGGTCACCTTCAAGAAGATCCTTGTGCCCAGCAATCTGAAAACCAAAAAGGAAAAAAAAGTTAAGCTGCTCGAGTTTTTGTTAACTGGAGGTACAGCATATGTGCTCAAGGCCCATAGAGTTTACCTGGAGGAGAAGGCTTTTAGTATCTTCATAGTTGGTTCTCAATCGCTCTCCAAAAGACCAGAGTTCTTCAGAAACAAGGAGCTTGTCGTACAAGGCTGCTATGCCGGGATCTCCTTTTGCGAAGACCATTTCAACCAAATCAATTGTCACCCTGAAGAAAGGCCACGCATTGTACATCTCCTGCAGCATAAGGAGATTCTTAATGTCCTTCTGAATGACATGCTTAAATGCTGCTCCAAAGCCGAGCCAAACAGGGAGATGAAATCTTGTTTGTGTCCACGCAAAGATCCATGGGATTGCACGGAGAGACTCAATACCCCCACTTGGCTTTCGCTTTGATGGTCGGCTACCAATATTCATTCTACCATACTCCAGCTCTGGTGTAGCCTACAGCCAAAAGAAAAGGTATAGATTATTCAATCCAAAACTGCTTTAATGAACATAGAACAGATGGTGTTAAGAACATGAGAATGCAGGTTCACTTACAAGGCGGAAATATTCAACAAATCGGGGTTCTTTGAAGACAATGGAACGGTACTCCTCCGTAGCAACAACAGCCATTTCATCCAGCAGTGCACGCCATTCTGGTTTTGGTGAAACTGGTGGGTGCATACCATGCTCAAGTGTGGCAGCAGTAAAACGCTGGAGTGTTCTAAAGCACAAGTGTTCCTCTCCAAATGATTGCTCGATAACTTCACCTTGGACTGTAACCCGAAGTGATCCATGGATAGTCTCTGGAGGCTGAGATAATATAGCAAGATGGGTGGGACCACCTCCTCTTCCAACAGTTCCCCCACGACCGTGGAACATCGTTAGCTTCACTCCAAATTGCTTAGCAACCTTTATGAGCTCCTCTTGAGCTTTGTATAACTGCCAGGCAGCAGAGAGACGCCCAGCGTCTTTACCTGAATCTGAATACCCAATCATAACTTCTTGCTTGCCATTGATCCGGTTCCTGTACCAATCAACTGAGAAGAGCCGAGCCAAAGCAGCAGGTGCAGCCTGGAGATCTGCTAGCTTCTCAAACAGTGGAACAACTCTTAATGGTTGCTTCACATGGCATTCACGCTGCAGGAGCTCAACAGCAAGAACATCAGAAGGGGCAGTTGCCATTGAAATGATGTACGCTCCAAAGTTGTCTGCTGGGAGCTCTGCCAGGACACTGAATGTATCCAAAACATCAGCAATTTCTTCTGTTTTAGGAAGATCAGGACCAAACAACGGACGCTTTCCACTTAGTTCAGATAGTAGCCATTCCTGCCTTTGTTCTTCAGACCACTCACGGTAGGAACCGATTTCTAAGTGTTGGGTAATGGCATCCAAGACATCTGTGTGGCGGTCAGACTCTTGTCGAATGTCAAGTCTGACAAGTGAGAGGCCGAAAGTTGACACTTGCCTCAAGAAATCAAGAAGACTTCCATCAGCAATTGGCCGGTCACCACAAGAGCAAAGTGATCTATAACATAGCTCAAGAGGTTCCAGAAACTGCAAAAAAAAAAAAGAAAAAAAAAGAGCAAAGAGTTAATTAGGGAAGACATCACAATGAGGGAAGAGAAAGTGAAATGGAAGTTCTCAAGACATCACTATCCCAGTCCATAAAGCAAGAGAAAGTGCAGAACTACAAAATCAGATTTTATGGCTGTTGACTATTTTCTAACAAGGCTAGGTATTAGTCAAGGGGCACACAATCTAATAGTAAATCCGTATTTCACTCATAAGAAGTAGGTGGAGTCCAAATTAATAATAAAACCGTGATATAAGATAAACTGAGATAGACCTGCTCAATG